CCTTTATATTCCTCATATACATGATGGAAATAATAATAATTATTTAATAGAATTAAATGAAGTAAGGATGTAAAAACACTTTGTAAACCCTGAATTACTTTACAAAGGTTGGGTATTAATATACTTTAAAATTTTTAATTTCAATACCTTAATCAAAAATTTAACTGTGATGGATGAAGTAACAAGGTAAAACCCCAGAAAAACAACTAAATAAAGTGGAGATAGGCAACCTTCCAGAAAAATGATAGTGAAGATGATCCAGGACCTTGGAAAAAGAATGGAGGCAAAGATCGAGAAGAAGCAAGAAATGTTTAACAAAGACCTAGAAGAATTAAAGAACAAACACCTAGAAGAAATAAAGAACAAACAAACAGAAATGAACATTACAATAACTGAAATGAAAAATACACTAGAAGGAATCAATACCAGAATAACTGAGGCAGAAGAACAGATAAGTGACCTGGAAGACAGAATGGTGGAATTCACTGCTGCGGAACAGAATAACGAAAAAAGAATGAAAAGAAATGAAGACAGCCTAACAGACCTCTGGGACAACATTAAACACAACAACATTCGCATTATAGGAGTCCCAAAAGGAGAAGAGAGAGAGAAAGGACCCAAGAAAATATGTGAAGAGATTATAGTCGAAAACTTCCCTAACATGGGAAAGGAAATAGCCACCCAAGTTCAGGAAGTGCAAAGAGTCCCAGCCAGGATAAACCCAAGGAGAAACACGCCGAGACACGTAGTAATCAAATTGGCAAAAATTAAAGGCAAGGAAAAATTACTGAAAGCAACAAGGGAAAAACGACAAATAACATACAAGGGAACTCCCATAAGGTTAACAACTGATTTCTCCGTAGAAACTCTACAAGCCAGAAGGGAGTGGCATGACATATTTAAAGTGATGAAAGGGAAGAACCTACAACCAAGATTACTCTATCTGGCAAGGATCTCATTCAGATTCGACGGAGAAATCAAAAGTTTTACAGACAAGCAAAAGCTAAGAGAATTCAGCACCATCAAACCAGCTCCACAACAAATGCTAAAGGAACATCTCTAAGTAGGAAACATAACAGAAGAAAAGGACCTACAAAAACAAACCCAAAACAATTAAGAAAATGGTCAGAGGACCATACATATCGATAATTACCTTAAATGTGAATGGATTAAATGCTCCAACCAAAAGACAGGCTTGCTGAATGGATACAAAAACAAGAGCCCTATATATGCTGTCTACAAGAGACCAACTTCAGACCTAGGGACACATACAGACTGAAAGTGAGGGGATAGAAAAAGATATTCCATGCAAATGGAAATCAAAAAAAAGCTGAAGTAGCAGTACTCATATCAGATAAAATAGACTTTAGAATAAAGAATGTTACAAGAGACAAGAAAGGACACTACATAATGATCAAGGGATCAATCCAAGAAGAAGATATAACAATTATAAATATATATGTACCCAACATAGGAGCACCTCAATACATAAGGCAACTGCTAACAGCTATAAAAGAGGAAATCGACAGTAACACAATAATAGTGGGGGACTTTAACACCTCACTTACACCAATGGACAGATCATCCAAACAGAAAATTAATAAGGAAACACAAGCTTTAAATGACACAATAGACCAGATAGATTTAATTGATATTTATAGGACATTCCATCCAAAAACAGCAGATTACACTTTCTTCTCAAGTGCGCATGGAACATTCTCCAGGATAGATCACATCTTGGGTCACAAATCAAGCCTCAGTAAATTTAAGAAAACTGAAATCATGTCAAGCATCTTTTCTGACCACAACGCTATGGGACTAGATATCAATTACAGGGGAAAAAAATGTAAAACACACAAACACATGGAGGCTAAACAATACGTTACTAAATAACCAAGAGATCACTGAAGAAATCAAAAAATACCTAGAGACAAATGACAACGAAAACACGATGATCCAAAACCTATGGGATGCAGCAAAAGCAGTTCTAAGAGGGAAGTTTATAGCAATACAAGCTTACCTCAAGAAACAAGAAAAATCTCAAATAAACAATCTACCCTTACACCTAAAGGAACTAAAGAAAGAAGAAAAAACAAAACCCAAAGTTAGTAGAAGGAAAGAAATCATAAAGATCAGAGCAGAAATAAATAGAAACAAATAGAAACAAAGAAAACAATAGCAAAGATCAATAAAACTAAAAGCTGGTTCTTTGAGAAGATAAACAAAATTGATAAACCATTAGCCAGACTCATCAAGAAAAAGAGGGAGAGGACTCAAATCAATAAAATTAGAAATGAAAAAGGAGAAGTTACAACGGACACGACAGAAATACAAAGCATCCTAAGAGACTACTACAAGCAACTCTATGCCAATAAAATGGACAACCTGGGGCTTCCCTGGTGGCACAGTGGTTGAGAGTCCGCCTGCCAATGCAGGGGACATGGGTTCGTGCCCCGGACTGGGAAGATCCCACATGCCGCGGAGCGGCTGGGCCCATGAGCCATGGCCACTGAGCCTGCACGTCTGGAGCCTGTACCCCACAACAAGAGAGGCCACAACAGTGAGAGGCCCGCGTACCGCAAAAAAAAAAAAAAGGACAACCTGGAAGAAATGGACAAATGCTTAGAAAGGTATAACCTTCCAAGACTGAACCAGGAAGAAATAGAAAATATGAACAGGCCAATCACAAGTAATTAAATTGAAACTGTGATTAAAAATCTTCCAACAAACAAAAGTCCAGGACCAGATGGCTTCACAGGTGAATTCTATCAAACATTTAAAGAAGAGCTAACACCTATCCTTCTCAAACTCTTTCAAAAAATTGCAGAGGAAAGGAACACTCCCAGACTCATTCTATGAGGTCACCATCACCCTGATACCAAAACCAGACAAAGATACTACAAAAAAAGAAAATTACAGACAATATCACTGATGAATAGAGATGCAAAAATCCTCAACAAAACACTAGCAAACAGAATCCAACAACACATTAAAAGGATCATACACCATGTTCAAGTGGGATTTATCCCAGGGATGCAACGATTCTTCAATATACGCAAATCAATCAATGTGATACACCATATTAACAAATTGAAGAATAAAAACCATATGAAAAAAAAAATTTAACTGCGACAAATACCTGATAACTGTGGCAAAAGGAGAAGGTACTGAGTCGTGTAAAGTTTATTTTGCTTTAAAAAGTTGACACAATACAAGTAACATATAGAAATAGTGCTTTGTTCACATCAGTGGTTTCCCTGTTTCAATAAAACTTCTGTTTCTAAATGGAAAAAAAAATTTAACTGTGTCGATTCAATTTTGTTTAGAGATATTTTGGTTAAAAGACTCATAATGAGAAACCAAGAGAAATGGCCTTCACTGATTCAACACTGACTTTTGTTGTTGAAGTCCACATAACTGCTAACTTGGTGCTATTTTTAGAACTAAATGAGGCCCTTCTCTTTCTGCAGTACACCAGTGTACTTAGTGTACCTTCAGAGTAGCAGAGGAACATCTCTTTTCCATAAGCCTTTCTTTTGAAGACCTTTGTAGTTCTACAATACAAAGTGTGAATGCCAGGCTGTCTGAATATGATTGAAGGGAGAAAGAAATAAAAATTCCTCCTTCCCAGATGGTTCAGTATAACACCATTCCTGGTAAAAATTCTCCTTTCTCCTCTATCATAAATCGAGACCACTGTTAGCTATGAGTATCGAGTTGCTAGAGGAGACCTACATGCCTCATTTGGGCTAAAGGCATCCTGGCCACATCATCTTCCCACTAACCCAGGTTTCTAAGCACAGAAGAACAGGAGATAACTCACTACCAATTTAAATGCATAATTTCAGAGCATCTTAAAACTGGAAGAAACTTTAAAATTCAACTAGGGCAATTTCCTCACTTCATTACAAATACACTGTGAGGCTTAGATGAGATGTATGAATCACTCAGGGCCTGCCTCAGGGTAGGCATATAACAAGTTAGTCTGCTACTCCTAAAAGTTCTCTGGGCCTTTATTCTAGGCAATGAGACAGGAGTTTCTGCACTCAGCCCGAGAAATATTTTTTCAAAAGCTTTGGGTGTGATGCCCTGTTTTTAAGCTTATATTCAGTCCTTGTGGATTTTTCTATTTTCATTCCAACAATCAATTGCTCTTATGGTAAGCATCTTAGAAAAACCAACTATTACATTTTATAACTACTAAAAAGAGCAGTCAAATAAAGTGAAAGTAATTCTTAACCTAGAGTATCTTCTACTATTATTATTGTTACTGTTATATTATTAATTACTACTATTATAACACTGGACATGACATAGGATACAGAATAAGCATAAGACATGGTGCTTGCTTTGATGCGTTGTTCTCATAAGAAATAAAGATCAGGAAATAATGTACTACCAATTTAAATGCACAGTTTTGAATCCTAAAACTAGAACAAACTTTAAAATTTCAACTAGGGGGGAAAAAGAAATTTCAACTAGGGCAATTCTCTTCCTTCATCACAGATAAGTGGTGAAGCTTAAATGAGATGTGTGAATCACCTGTTTCTTTTTAATAACACTTTTAAAAAACAGTCAAACATCTTTAAAGACATTATTTTGTAATAATTATATTATTTCCATCGTGGTGTAGGGGAAATGTGAATCCATTGACTAGAAAATAGGGGTAGGCAAACTTCCTATAAAAGGCAGAATAGTAAATATTTTAGGCTTTGCAAGCCATATATGGTGTCTGCTACATTTTCTTTTTCTTTTTTTAATGACCTTTTACAAATATAAAAATCTTCCTCTTCTCACTGGCCATACAAAAGCAGATGGGCCAGATTTGCCCTGTGCAAGCTGTGGTTTGCCGACCTCTGGACTAGATAATAAAATTAAAGTCATAAGAGATAATAATGTATTAAATCTATTTATAAAACTGATAAAATCAGGAACAGAATTTAAATACTCATACTTCCTTCAGTATACCATTCTACATCTATGAAACATCTCTACCTTACCTGAAATTCATCGAAACATAAAAGACTTGCTTCTTTACTGATTTCTTCAGCTATAGGAGCTATTGGATCGTATGATTTAGCCATGAATCCTGGTTTCCTTTTTGGCAAACTCTGTTTAAGGCGGTGTATTCCTTAAATGGATGAAGTTAAACACAAATCAAATACTGTATTAACAGTACATTTTAGATAACTAAAACATATTTTTAAAATCTCTAAATGAAACAGAGTGTGAACATAAAAATGAAGTTTAAATTTCACATACAAACAAATATGATTATTGAGGTTGGTTGCAGTTTCTCCACCTCAAATAAGTTGTTCACGTATTACTATATTCCCATGGTTGTAAGAACACTTTGTGGTCATTCCATCTCCACTCTTCAATCACTTCAGAGATGACAAAGTGATAGAATAGATGACCAGATTGTGACTGATGGATCAACACACAGATCTTAGCCCTGAGGATTTCAGAGATGCAGGCAAAGGAGGTGATCCTGCCCTCTATGTCTAGCATATCTAATCAGGATGTTCCCTTGTTTCCAGCCAGTCCCACTTCATTCACTCTATGTTACTAAATGCTGAAAGTATTCTAAGAAAAGTACAATATTCCTGCCCTGAGAAGGTTACACTATAGCTAGTAAACAAATAATGCAAAGATGAAATAACATACCCTTGACAAAGAAATAAAGCATACATACAAGAACAAACTGAATGCCTACATGCTAAGGTGACACAGAGGAAAAGGCCTAATCAAGAATAACTTTGTGAAACAGGTGAGGCTTAAAGATTTCTTATTGATCCTTAGTAGAAAGACAAAATGCCTGACCTTCACAGAGTAACCTCTGTTCTCTGATTTGGAAGTAATGAATTTGTCTCTAGGACCAACTCTGGACACATTACTAATTGCTTCAATATAGCACAAAACAAATGAAACCAAATAAAATCTTACTTTTAGCAAAAATATAATTTTTTAAAAGATTAAGAACTTTGAGATGAGGAAAATTATCTTGTAATGTTTGTCCATTTAATCACTTCTTTCAGATCATTAACTTACTTTTGTGAACATCTAGCATGAAACCATGAAAATGAACCCGTTTTTTCCTCTTCATTTCCACATAAGCATAAAACATGTCCATCACCATTGTTTTTCCTGTACCTTAAAAAAAAAACCAAAACTATTAAACAGTATGTACTGATTGCTCTAATGATTGTTCATTAGCTTTGGGATAATGAAACCACACTCTGCTACTGGAAAGCTTAAGACTATGTTAACTTTTTTAATAGCAGTGTTTATGTCTTATGCTAAACTACCTAAAAATAAAATGTTGATATTATTCTTTTCTGTTAAAATCCTGTTTTTAAGAAATACAACATTTAGTTAGCACTCCAGGGAATATTTCCTCCAGAGAACTATGCTTTTAAACTGGCAAGATTTACAGATTATTCATTCTTCAGTTTCTCTTCCAAAAGGCACAGTATAAATAAAATAACTTTAATTAATTAAGTTTTTTGCGGTACGCGGGCCTCTCACTGCTGTGGCCTCTCCCGTTGCGAAGCAACAGGCTCCGGACGCGCAGGCTCAGCGGCCACGGCTCACGGGCGCAGCCGCTCCGCGGCATGTGGGATCCTCCCAGACCCGGGCACGAACCCGTGTCCCCTGCATCGGCAGGCGGACTCTCAACCACTGCGCCACCAGGGAAGCCCTAATTAATTAATTAATTATTTATTGGGCCATTACAAAGGATGAGGAACTATCTTAGGCACTATAGGAAAATTTAACAGTGAAAAATAAGAAAATACAGATTAGCACCTAACATAAACACTGAAAATAAATAATAGATGTTAGAGCTGGAGAATTGCCAATTATAACACTTTTTTTTTAAATTAATTAATTTATTTATTTTTGGCTGCATTGGGTCTTCGTTGCTGAGCGCAGGCTTTCTCCAGTTGTGGTGAGCGAGGGCTACTCTTCCTTGCGGTGCACGGGCTTCTCATTGCATTGGCTTCTCTTGTCGTGGAGCACGGGCTCTAGGTGCGTGGGCTTCAGTAGTTGTGGCACGCGGGCTCAGTAGTTGTGGCTCACAGGCTCTAGAGTGCAGGCTTAGTAGTTGTGGGGCATGGGCTTAGTTGCTCCATGGCTTGTGGGATCTTCCCCCACCAGGGCTCAAACCTGTGTCACCTGCATTGGCAGGGGGACTCTTAACCACTATGCCACCAGGGAAGTCCTATAACACTTTTTTAAAAAACTGAGAATATTGGCTTTCAAAATGAGGCTTACTTGAAGAAATTCAGATACAGTTAACCCTTATAATTAAATTATCTAATTTTCAGCACTCAAACTGTTAATCACTACGATCGCATTAGTAATCGAAGAGTCAACAGCCTGAGCATTTCACAAGGCATGCACAGGAAGCCTATTCCCTCACAGAAAGCCCAGAGCTTTGGGGACACTGACAGTGGTCAAGTTTGGTTCACACCCAGCATTCCCCAGCAGGCAGGCCAGGGGATGCTGGTCTTGTCTCTCATCCTCACTGCTTCCTCCACCACCACCTTACCAAAGCATCCAGGCTCTCCTTGCAGGAGCTGCAATTATTATACTAACTTCACAGGCAGCTCAGGAAGCAAGATTTGAGTCAAATCTGTTGAGCTTTCCTCCATTCCATAAGATGACTTTGGGCCATGCCATTTGAATTGTCAGAAAGTTTTTTGTATATGAAAATACAATTCACAGGACTTCCCTGGTGGCTAAGACTCTGCGCTCCCAATGCTAGGGGCCTGGGTTTGATCCCTGGTCAGGGAACTAGATCCCGCATGCAGGCTGCAATGCAGACCCAGCGCAGCCAAATAAATAAATAAATAAAAATTTTTTAAAAAGAAAATACAATTCACCAGACAGATTTTTAATGAGAAGACCGCTTAGACTGAAAAGTAATTTTTTGCAAAAATATTCAGTACAAGTCTCTTGATATAGTGAGTGGCAGCAAATTTTATATCACTACATTTACACAAGGAAGTGAATTAATAAAGTTTCAAATTCTGCTGCATGAAGCATAGTACACTTATAGATCCAGAAAAGAAGTCATGAATTATCTAACAAAAAATGTGAACAATATATATTTGAAAATAATCATTGTGCTCGTCTTCAAAAATGTGCTTAAAATGTAACAAAACCATCATATAAAAAGTTTCTGAAAATAAAAGCAAAAAGAAGAAATCATAAAGGAAAAAACTGATAAACTAGAATATGCAAAATTCCAACTTCTGAATATCAAAATCACCATAAATAAAATATTCTTATTTATTTAATCAACATTTTTCATTGAATGCCTACCATGTGTGAGGCCCTATTCTAGGTGCTTATTAGGAAATGGCAGTGAACAAAACTAACAAAAATTCCTGTCCTCATGGAACTTGGCAGTTTAACATTATATATCTTTATATCTTTTCCTCATACACTGTTGGTGGGAATGTAAATTGGTGCAGCCGCTATTGAAAACAGTATGGAGACTCCTTAAAAAACTAAAAATAGAACTACCATATGATCCAGCAATTCCACTCTTGGGTATATATCTGGAAACAATGAAAACACCAACTTGAAAAGATACATGCATCCCAAGTTCACAGCAGCACTATTTACAATAGCCAAGACGTGGAAGCAACCCAAGTGCCCATCAACAGACAACTGGATTAAGAAGATGAACCCTATGTCACTCCAACTTTTAGCTTGGAGGCACCTTCCAGATTGCTGCACAGAGAAGGTGAATCCAAGTTAAACACCCAGGTCTGAGTGAGTTAAGAGAGATCAGGATTATGAGAGTCCAAAATGCAGGTGAAATTTGCAAGGCAAAGTGCCAGAGAGGAGCAAGCTATATAATGAAAGAGCTCCAGAAACCAACAGGTGGACACTGTTGAGTCTTTGGCTGAATAATAGCTGCTCATGCGTAGGGTGATACTTCATGATGTGAGGCAAGGGAAGCTGTGTTATGAACCCCTAGGAAACTGAGTGATAAACAATTTCCAGAGATATTGATACATACAACAACTTGAATGACTCTCCAATGAAAAAAAAAAAAAGCCAATCTTAAAAAGTTACATACTTTCTCATTTATATAACATTTTTGAAATGACAGAATTTTAGAAATGGAGAACAGATTAGTGACTGCCAGGATGTAGAAATGGAGGGTGGATATGTATGGTTATAAAATTATGGGCAATACAAGGGATTCTTGTGGTGATACAGTTGTTCAGTATCTTGACTGTGGTGAATATATGAACCTACAGAGGTGATAAAGTGTATAGAACTAAATACACACATAAATGAGTACAGCACAGCTGATGTGAAACTCATGGATACAGAGTGCTGACTGTATTCCTTGTACTAGGCCATTTTATATAAGGGACCTGAATATCACCAAATTTTGATATCCTTGGGGACCCCTAGAACCAATCCCTGTGGATACCAAGGGATGACTATACAAGTAAAACTGGAGAAATCTGAACAGGATTGGTGAATTGTATCAATGTCAATACCTGGTTGTGATATTTTTACTATAGTTTTGCAAAATGTTGCCTTAGAGGGGAAATGAGTGTATACAGATCTCTCTGAATTACTTCTTATAACTGTATGTGAATCTGTAATTATCTCAATGAAATTTTCAATTAAAAAAATACTTCAAAGGAATCAAAGTGGCATGCAAGTAACTTATTTAACTCCCTGTCAAAATAAAATTCAACATATAAAAATTATAAAATCTCACAACGTTTGAAAAAAATTTTGACAAAATTCAACACACATACATGATAAAAACTCTCAGCAAACTAGGAAAAGAAGCAGACTTCCTCGACCTCATAAAGGACAAATACCAAAAAACCTACACTGAAAAGATGCTCAATATCACCAATTATTTGAAAAATGCAAAACAAAACTACAATGAGATACCACTTCACATCCATTAGGATAACTATTATGAAAACAACAAACAGAAAAATAATGTATTGATAAGGGTGTGGAAAATGGGGACCCCTGTATATTACTGGTGGGAATGTAAAATTGTGCAGCTGCTATGGAAAACCGTATGGCAGTTCCTCAAAAAATTAAACACAGAATGACCATATGATCCAGCAATTCCACTTCTGGATATACACAAAAGAATTGAAAGCTAGGATTCAAACAAATATTTGTTCATCAATGTTTATAGCAGCATTATTCACGGAAGTCGGAAGATGGAAACAACCCAAACATCCATCGACAGATGAAGGGATAAACAAAACTGGTATATACAATATAATGGAATATTATTCAGCCTTAAAAAAGAACGAAATAAAAAGAAAAAAAAGAATGAAATTCTGACATAGTATCTTGAAGATACCATGCTAGGGAAGTAAGCCAGAAACAAAAGGATAAATATTATATGATCCCACTTACATGAGGTCCCTAGAGTTGTCAAATTCATAGAGACAAAAGTAGAACAGTGGTTGCCAGGGACTGGGAAGGAGGGGGTTATAGAATGGGTGTTATTGTTTAATAGGTACAGAGTTTCAGTTTGGGAAGATAAAAATGTTCTGGAGATGAACAGTGGTGATGTTTGCATAACAATGTCAATGTACTTAATGCCACTGGACTGTACAGTTAAAATGATAAATTTTATATTATATATATATGTTGCCACAATAAAAGAAACTAATACATTAAACACACACACACACACACACACAAACACACACACACACACCCTACAGTTAACGTCATATTTAACTAGGGAAGACTGAACACTTCTCCCCTAAAATCTGACACAAGGCAAGGACATCCACTCTCATGACTTCTGTTCAACATTGTACTGCATCCTAGCTACGCAATGAGGCAAGAAAAAGAGCTAGAAGGCATAGAAATTGTAAAGGAAAAAGTTAAATTGTCTTTATTCACAGATATGATTACGTTCACAAAAAATCCTGAAGAAGCTACCAAATAACCAGGAGTTATAAGAGTTAATAACTGAATTTAGAAAGGTCATCCAAAAAATCAATTGATTCTATACACTAGCAGTGATCAACTGGAAATTTAAATGTTAACATACAATACCATTTGCAGTAAAATACACAGGAATAAATTTATCAAAAAATATGGCAAACCTCTGCACTACAAACTACAAAACACCACTGAGAGAAATTAAAGAAGATACTTTAGGGACTTCCCTGGTGGCGCAGTGGTTAAGAATCTGCCTGCTAACGCAGGGGACACGGGTTCGAGCCCTGGTCCAGGAAGAGCCCACATGCCGCGGAGCAACTAAGCCTGTGTGCCACAACTATTGAGCCTGTGCTCTAGAGCCTGTGAGCCACAAATACTGAAGCCTACATGCCTAGAGCCCGTGCTCCGCAACAAGAGAAGCCACCGCAATGAGAAGCCTGTGTACTGTAGCAAAGAGTTGCCCCCACTTGCTGCAACTAGAGAAAGCCCGTGCGCAGCAACGGAAACCCAACGCAGCCATAAATAAATAAATAAGATATTTTAAAATGAAGAAATATACCATGCTCATAGATTGGAATACTCAATATCTTAAGTTATCAATTCTCTGTAGACATTGCTCTATAGCTTCAACATAATCCCAATCAAAATCCCCAGATTTTTTTTTAAAGAAATGAACAAGCTTATTCTAAAATGAACATGGAAATGCAAAGGCCACAGAATTGCCAAAATAATCTTGAAAAAGACAAAGTTGGAGGACTCACATCACACCACAGAGATGCATCAGCAAAATCCAAGTTGTAGGAAATCCTACAGGACAAAGATGTTTATAAGTATGTATGTATATATATGTGTGTGGTGTGCACACACCCAAGCATATACTACCTCAGGATGTAAAATATATTACTTACTGTGAGTCGTGTTCAAAAATGTTTCAAAGCCATTGCCACAGTTTGTAAGCTCTGGGTGAGCAAAGGCTGTGTCTGCTTTTATTCACCATTACATTTCCAGAAACAACAGACTGCCTGGCACAAGACAAGTGCTCAACAAGCATTTGTCAAGTGACTGGAAGAATGAGGACAGATGTTGGAAAAAAGTAGGAAAGAAACCAGCACTAAATTTCACCTGCTTCATAATTTTGCTTTGGTCTCTACAGAATCCTAAATAAAACCTTGTAATTTTCTCAGGATAAGATTCTTACTAGGGCAGTCATTTATAAAACCTAAAAATCTTTTAAATTCTAACTTTTAAGCCTATAGTTGGGAAGCCAAAAAATGACTACTCGAGAGCCCCCTCTAGTGGTGCCCTTTTCACAGCTGACCTCCTGCAGAAGGAGCTGGAAGTGGTATCCTCCACCACTGCCTCCCACCCAAGAAGAATTTTGCTTTCCAACCCCTAACCTTAAAAACAGTCTAGCTTTCCACTGGTGAAATTATCAATGTGGAACAGGTAAGGTTAAACCAGGAGACAGCAAAAAAGGGACTGACAAACAAAAATGTACTTATTCTCTTCTAATGTACGGGAGAAATCATTAACCCTGCCATCACCACTCATTCTGCTAGTTTAGAGCTGAAACCTTGTTGTAAGAAAGCCAGCTGTAGGGTAAGAATGAAGCCACAAAATACTACTACTGCAGCTTTTGACTTCTGCATGAGATATGATAAGCATTTTATTAATGAAAACATTTCAAGATTGAACCATGATGATATCAATGCTCCTGGGGTTCCCGTATTGAGGTCCATCTGAGTCAATCATCTCAACATACCTATGAAGACAGAGTAGAGTGAAGTGGGCATGACAGATTCCAAGCCAAGGGCAGGAATAAGGAGAGGGAAAGGGATGCTATGAAACAGACATCTCTTTTCCACCAAGTCTCTTTAAAATTTAATATCTGTTTCCCAAGTCTAAAAAAGAAAAATAATAAAGAATAAGAGCTTGTAAAGGCATTCTGAGGCTATTCTCCCAGCCAGCGAGCCCCCCCAAAATGAGAATTTGACCTATCTTTTATTACCTATTTTGTAAATATTCTAAACTAAACTGAGTATGGCCACCAAAACGTTCATCTCACTTCCTATTTCAGAATTCCTTTCTCTTCCCCTCTCTACATTATGAAGCTGTTACTAGCCAAAGATTGTCACACACCCAGCCTATGTGAATATCCCATGTTACACATCTTTTCTAATCCCTTCAAACATTCAGATAAATTACGTTTATTGTACCTCCTTCAATTCGTTAGAATATGGCTGTATTTTCCAAACTAAAAATCCAACAACTTTCATAGTTGTTGTTGTTGTTTTTTTTTAGTCCTTTGTAGAAGTGGAAACAGTTGTGCCTTACTAACCATCTCCATTTATGGTTAAGTGGTTAAGGTAACAAGAGAAACACAAAGATGCAGATTTTAGCGATGACAGAACATGAAAGTGAAGGTATAGGAAGTAAACGTTCTCCAAAGAGGCAAAAAATAAGAGATGACAACAGAATGAGATCTGCTAGCGGTGCCCAAAGGTGCAGACACACAAAACTGCTCCAGTACCTGGTATAAATTAGATTCTAAATAAGAAGCATACATTGGTCTCAAAAATACCTATTAGCCAATGAACTAAGAAAAAGAAAAGTTTGAGGTTCTTTCACATTTTTAGAATCTGCAAGTTTGAAGAATCTCTATCATTCACTTTTTAAATACTAACTAATTCCCTTTTTATTAGATTTGCTAAATCTATAAATGTAAAACAGGCATTTAGAGGCATTAGTAAACAAATCAGAAGAAGAGGGAGGACCCAGAAAAGAACATTTTGATCTTTAAAGCAGTATAACTACTTATTCAACTTCTATTATTTTTCTTACCCTAAAATTCTTATTAAGATAACGAACCTCTGCCACCACTTCCTCACAATGCAAATTTGTTGATCTCGTTACATTAAATGTGCATTTTGAGTATGTAAAGAACTGAAGGACAAGCCATAAGGTCAGAGGAAGGAGGAGCCACCTTCATGACATCAGTGAAGGTGGGTAACCAGGGAGCGGTTTAAAACTGGAGAAAAAGATTTGATTGAAGGAAATAGAAACCAGAAACAGACAACTTCAGCAAGAATGAAGTCAGGGAAGAAGAAAGACGTTAACTGATTAGGAAAATCCAGAAAGTAAGTCACAGCTCATATGGTTTCCAAGAAAATGTGAGTCTTTGTGCCAGTGCATGACCAAGGAAATGTTACCATTCATATGTTAAGAACGTCTACTCAGGGACTTCCCTGGTGGCGCAGTGGTGAATAAACCGCCTGCCAATGCAGGGGACACGGGTTCGAGCCCTGGTCCGGGAAGATCCCACATGCCGCAGAGCAACTAAGCCCGTGTGCCACAACTACTGGGCCTGCACTCTAGAGCCCGCGAGCCACATCTACTGAGGCCGAGCGCCACAACTACTGAAGCCCACGCGCCTAGAGCCCGTGCTCCTCAACAAGAGAAGCCACCGCAATGAGAAGCCTGCGCATCGCAACGAAGAGTAGCCCCTGCTCGTCGCAACTAGAGACAGTCTGCGCACAGCAACAAAGACCCAACGCAGACAAAACAAGTAAGTAAATAAATTTATTTTTTAAAAAAAGTAAGAACAAACAGCTTATTTTTTTTTAAGTTATTAACCTGAGTCAAATAGCACTGAGCAATGAGATTCTGGTTTATCTAATAACCTATCTAGAAATGACTTCCTTCCCTGAGATCAACTGACTTTATACATTAAATAATGTTTGCACCCTAACATGCTAACTAATCCTGCCTTCAACTGCAGTCACTCTATGAGAAATAAAAGTAAAAACTAAGATAACTGCACTCCTCTCCTCTCTCCTATTTTACCTCACCTCATCCTGTTCCTGCTGGTAGTGTACTGAGGGATAGAAATGGAAGTTATCCCTGAGTGAAAGCTGGGAAACTCTTTGTTTGGACCACTTAAAACTTATTTTAACACACTTACCAACATCTCCATAAACATACAGGCCCCTTGGAGGTTTGCTCCTTGAAAAAAGCTGCAAATTAAGAACAAATTATAAATCTCCAACCTGGAAATAATCGAATATCATCATATACATAGTGTTCCTAACCGTCCTATATATACAGGACTGAAATGGGCTACTGTACACAAAAAGTACAAAAAACTTGATATAAAAGGCTATGAAGCCCCACTTAGGTTTTAATATAGGAGGCAAGAATCATAATAGCTCAGAGCAAGGCTCTGAAGTCACACAACTTAAGTTTACATCCACTTCACAATTTACTAACCATGTAATCTTCCCCCTCTTTCCCAAATGGGCTCCCCAAACAATGACAGCCTAGCTCATTCCCAGCAAACAAGAGATCAGAAGACTTTTTCTGAAGAAAGTGAATGGTTTCCAGAAATAAAGGCCCAAAGGCACCTAGTATGGGTTTCTCCCAAAGAAAGAACTGGGTCCCTATCAGATCACCTTACAGTAAAGCATACTAGTCAACAAACCTCTTAAGATGGAGCCTTCAATCAGCTCATTAGTATCTGAAAAGACTCTAAAACGAATTGACAGCCAAGAATCAACAGAAATTTGGAAAAAAAAAAGAAAAACTCCCATTATGAAAGTTGGAGACCACAGCAAATATACAGAGGGCAAAAAACTCCAAGGAAACAGAGACTACACAGACAGCAAAAGGAAACTTCAAAATAAAACTGTAACTAATATAATTAATATGCTGAGGAAAATAAAAGAAGTTATTAAAACTATAAAGCAGGAACAAAATGCAATTTTTAAAAGGAATAATAAGAACAAAAGAGAGTACTTTGAAATTTAACATATGGTAGCAGAAACAAAATTCCAGAAAAGGGATTAGAAGATAAGCTTGAGGAAATGTTAAAGAAATACAACAAATAAACAATGAAAGATGGAAAATATAAGAAAATTACAGGATTAATTCAGGGGGTCCAATATCTGACCAAAAGGAATTCCAGAAAGAGAAAATAGAGAAAAAAGAGAGGAAGAAATTACCTAAGATTTTTCTCAGATCTGAAGGACAAAATTTCAAGATTGGGAGGACAGATTATATAAGTGTCCACCACAATGAGGGAAATAAGACCCATACCAAGTCATAATCCTGAAATTTCAGACACCAGGGATATAAAGGAAATCCTACAAATGTCCAAGGTGGCAGTGGGGTGGACGTTCAGGGGGAAAGGTGGTGGGGAGTGGGTGGCTGGAGACAGGTCACAAACAACCGATAAAAACTTGAATAAAGTTTGAGGGGCAGTGATTTCCAATCTAATCCATCCAATCTACCCATCAAGTGTGAAAATGGGAAACTGACATTCCATACATACAGGGTCTCAAAAAACCCTCCCCAACATAAATAGGAACACCTAGGCTCCATGAAACACAGAGGATCCTGGGGAGAATGCCCTAGTAAGATGGAGGGCTGCTCTCTAGAACCACAGTGGCACAAGCAGGACAAGAAAGCAATCAAGTCCAGACCAAAACAGGAGGATGGAGGCCTCAAAGGAAGAAACAAAATGGAACTTCTCTTTGCCTGATATTATTATCAACCCAAATTACCTTCCTGAATTTTGCTCCACTTAGAAGAGTAACCTTCAAACTCTATGACAGTTCCTAGACACCTGTGCAAAAACCAAGGTGAGGGCTTCCCAGGTGGCGCAGTGGTTGGGAGTCCGCCTGCCGATGTGGGGGACACGGGTTCGTGCCCCGGTCCGGGAAGATCCCACATGCTGCGGAGCGGCTGGGCCCATGAGCCATGGCCTCTGGGCCTGCGCGTCCGGAGCCTGTGCTCCTCAACGGGAGAGGCCACAACAATGAGAGGCCTGCATACAGCAAAAAAAAAAAAAAAACCAAGGTGAGCCAGAGCTGAGAGAGTTCAGAAAGGGTAAAAGGAGAAAGAAGCGCAGGTTATGCCACTTAGCACCAACCAGAGCAGTCAATATTTTGACAGAGAACATTTTCAAAAACTAAGGAGCCACAAAAAAAAAAAAAAAAAAAAAAAAAAAAAACCAAGGTGAGCCAGAGCTGAGAGAGTTCAGAAAGGGTAAAAGGAGAAAGAAGCGCAGGTTATGCCACTTAGCACCAACCAGAGCAGTCAATATTTTGACAGAGAACATTTTCAAAAACTAGACTTCAGGATCCACTACCTAATGCTTTTGTTTTTTAATCTGTGGATTCACTCCAGCATGCCTCAGAAACCTCTCTCGTTTTCCTGTCCCTCAGCTTTCTCTATAAATCCAGCCTCTGACTCTAGCACGCCCCTTCCAAAAGAACCTTCACCATGGTTTAGGCAAATGGATCTTCTTTGCTTTGATTCTGCCAGATGGACGCCTTCCCTGTGTTCCTCTGCACATTAACTCTCCATCTATTCTTAAATCTCAACTGAAAACAGATGCCACTCCTGCCAAAACCTCTTAATTTGTCTTGGTGTAATATCTTATGTGAACCATTCTTGTACATTGGTTATTCCATTTTCAATTTGCCAGAAAAAAAGCATCATGCTCCTCAATAATTTTAGAACAGCTTCAAATTAGAAAACTTATATACAACCTAATAATCTCTAAGTATATTCTATGTATTAGAAATCTTTTGAAAGCAACTTTTTGCATAAGGTAACTGGAAATGTTATAGCAATTCTTCACATCACATTTTGTAGAAACAGTCCAGGATCTAGTCATGATATAATCAACATATGCTGAATCAATGAAGTTCAAGCCAAAAACTTAACAAAGATGGGGGAAAAAGATGACATGGGAAGAGCTCAATGCTGCTAAAAAAAAAAAAAAAAAAAAAAAATCACTTGGGCCTATCTTGTTTTACCCAAACTCAACGTATTTTTGAAAGAGCACTTTGGCAAATATTACAGTACATTATCTATTACATATATAATTTATACTATATTTTATGGCAATATTTAGATGATGATAAAGAGATATGGTTATAGAGTATCAAAGGAAAAGATTCTCAAACATCTGAGATCACAAATATCTCGTATGGCATAAATACTGTTTAAGAAGCAGATTTTACTCCAAATAAATTGATAAACACAATGGATAATCCTCTAACAATAAATGTTAGATATCATCTATCTAAACTATGTTATATACATACCAAGTATTTTCACTTGGAGAGGCAGGTTATTTTTCTCCTCATAAAATTTCAGTCTTCCAAAAATTATTGAAATTATTTCAAAGGATTTAAAACTCTATATTTTAAGGGGAAAATCAGAGGATTGAATGGAGAACAGTAAGACTATTTAGAAGGCTGTAAAATGGGTTCTAAAGAAGTTTTTAAATTCTTTATTCATAGTGGTCAATTCAGGGAGAGTTAGGTTCACACAGTTTTCTTCAAAATAACGACACAGGCACCCACATAATTTACATGCTCCTAATTTACATTTTCTCACAATTTACCCTATTTTTCAGGTCCATTAAATTTCCTTTCCCAATGTTTTAACTTCCTGTAATGTGTTCCTATGTCTCAGAGCACTCCACCCTGGCATAGTTCCTGGGTGCTGGGGTTCTACATGTGCTCTCATCCTCCACAAGCCTCCTTCATCCTGCTCTCTACCCTGGGGGCAACCTTGCTGGCTGGCTGCTAGCTGGGTTCAATCCCTGGGAGGCACTACTTGCAGGAGATAGGAGGGAGGGGGTGGAGAGAAATCCGGGTCATTCTCTCCTGTTGCTTCCCTGCTTCAGTGCTGTGTCTCTAGCAGAGCTGCATCCCTCCACAATCATTAGGTCCTCATGCCACAGCTACAGCTCTCTGCAGGCTCCTCCTTCACTCCTCCATCCTTTGTTTGCTGCCTTAGGTCGGCCCTGCCCATGACTCTCTAAGTCATCTCTTGATTCAGTCTTTAAAGTGCTGTGAACAGTTTCCTGACAGCGCTCTGATACACGCCCAACCTCTAAAATACACACACTTAACACTGACTAGACAAAGACTTGAAGGTCTGAACATGAAGAAGTTTCTCTAGTGACCAGTTGTAAGATTTGTCAAGTTACTTACATCTTAGGGAATTTGTGAAGTAGGATGATGACACCTTCTCTAATGTGTTTTTCATAAGGATCCAGTGATACTGTATTACAGATTGTGCAGATGGTAAGCTTAAGGATGATGTTGGAAGACAGTGGAAAGCTATCACCTACCTCCACTAAGCATAAAAGATATAAGGAAAGAGTATTAGAGTTGAACTCAAAAGATCTGGGTACAAATTCTGGTTTGGCTACTTATTAGCTATGTGACTCTGGGTAAGCCACATCAACTCTACAACCAGCCATTTCCTTATCTGTTGGGTGCAGGACACAGCACTGGGGAGTTCCCACTCACTGCCCACCTCTGCACACCTAATCACAAGGCCCACTCACTCATGGTGAAGACTGTAAACTTCATGTACTGATACCTGCTTCTATCCAAACCTATGGACCACGAAGAAGAAACATCGCACCCTTTGACACACCCTTCTCAAAGATCTGAACAACATTAATGTACACTTAAGCTATTTTATATCTATACAAACTCTACCAAACAAATCAAGAATACATTCAAGAACATGGAGCACATTTTCAAATACTGTGCATATTCCAAGCCATAAAGGAAACCTCAAATAAACTCCAAAGAATCACTGTAGTCCAAGCAAACTGGAATAAAATTAGAAATAAATGATGGAAGGATAGCTAAAAATAGAAAAATCTCATACCAAGATATTGACTTTCCCTCACATTCCCTCACGTCCACCCAGACTTCTGGGATTGCAATTTCACATAGGAAGTGGAAGGAGGTCCAACCCAATGCCTTCTGTTTTCTCTTTATAAAGATGTAGACGTTTGCTGAAAGTGATAGGGGAAGTAGTTCAGCTTGAAGGGAGCTAAGAAGGCTCTAGAGAATCGTTACAGAGAAGAGTGAACTAACCAGCGAGACAGATTTGTTGACAAAATGGAGGGACATGCCTCAGGGCTTTCAGATTGTTCTCAACAATCTTCTATACCTGTGCAGTAGCCATGTCCTTTAGGTGA